TTTTGTTGTCCATGATACTGTTAAAATATGTCATTGTGTTTTGCTGTTAGACATCAATTAGAAGGGACCCCAAAGAGGTAAACCAAAGAAACTTCATCATGTGGAGCTCATGAGTGGTCAGTTATGGCCTTTTAAATGACCAAGGATTTATCTATCTATTCGTATTGTCAACTTTATTGACTTAAACAATAAAATGCACCTTTTCAAGTATGTGTGAATGGGTTTTGGCAAATGTAAATTCCTGTGTAAGTGTCATCACAGTGAAGATATAGAACGTGTATATCATCTTCAGAAGTTTCGTTATGTCCCTTCCCATTCAGTCCAGCTCACCTTAGCCTGGGTAACCACTGATCTGTTTCCTATATGTTAGATTTGTCATTTTTAGAGTTTCATGTTAAATGGACTCATGCAGTATGTATGCTTTTGTTTGTAGCACCTTTTGCTTAGTGAAGGGATTTTAATATCCATGTAAGTTATTTTGTGTTTCAATAGTTCATTTCTTTTTATTGATGATGAGTGTTTTGTCATGTAAATAACTACAATTTACCTATTATAGGACATTTGAGTTGGTTTGGCCTTTTCAAATAACTCTATTTTAAAGTTTGTTTATAGGTCTTTTGTATGGACACAGATTTTAACTTCTCTTGGTTAAGTATCTGGAAGTAGAATTGTTATTTTATATGGCATGTGTTTTCCAAACAGACTGCCATTTCATACATATTTTTAAGCAATGTAAGAGATTTCCAGTGTTCCACCCCATTGCCAAGTCATGGCATTGTCAGTTTTTTTTAAATTTGCCATTGTAATGAGTGTGTAGTGTTATCTTATTATGGTATCATTTCTGTGGGAGGCCTTACCTAAGGCCCAGGCTGGATTATGTAGCTCTGAATGTGCTGTCCATTTAGTGAGGACTATAAATAGACATTAATGATACATTTGCAAGGCAGTGGGATTAGTGCTATGGAAAGGACCTCACGAAAGGAGCACTTTCAGGTGGGGAATATATGTTTATTACCCTTTACAACAGGGACCCCATCTCTTGGTGGTGGTCCAGTAAGGGTCTGTGGCCCGTTCGGTACTGGGCAGCAAGCCAACGAAGCTCCCCTAAGCTCTGTCTCCTGCCTCCCCTTCCCCCGTCTTCCATGGAACCAGCCTCTGCTGCCAAAAAGGTTGGGGACTGCTGCTTTACAATATGAAACTCTGTAATTATACCTGCATATATTCCATGCACTGTGTTCTACACAGTAAAGTCAGAACAAGGATTCTTAATGGTTTTGAATAACGTATAATCAAGGCAAGTAGGTAAAATGAGCAGAGGACATTGCAGGCAGCAGAGGACCAGATGCCAAGAAAGCCATGGGTTGGGGGTCGCAAATGTTTATCTAAACAAAGGACCTTTGTCTGTCACGAGACAAAAAGTTAAACTGTTTGCCCTTATATTCCTCAATAGTAAATAAGAATAAAAACTGAAGGAGTTGTATGTAAATCATAAACTAAAAGTCCTACGGGGGTGTGACGAAATACATACTTCTGTGAATGTGACCAGTATAAGGTGATTAAAGCGGGCCACCAACTTGAGAGTACCTGTTTCTCTGGAGGCATGCAAATGGGTGTAAATGAAATGAAGTGAGCTCTGCAAGCCAAGTGGCTTGTAGCAGCTCTGGACATGTGCTGCAAATCTGTGACCCTAGGCTGTCATTTAAGGGGGAGTGAGAGTGACTGAGTATACTAAGTCAGGTACTGTAGTGGGTTCTGTACATATTTTACACAATTGTATTCTCAGAAAAACATAGTGGTGTACATATTATTTTTCCCCTTTAACCAGCAAGGAAATGGAGGTTTACAAAATTTAAGGAATTTGCTCAAAGTTTGGGTGGTCCCCTAAAATGTATCTCTGTGTGTGTGTGTGTGTGTGTGTGTGTGTGTGTGTGTGTGTGTGTAGGGGCAAACAGTTATTTTCTGGGGCCCTTTTTATATAAAAAATTTTGAGACAGCTGGAATCAGTTGAAAGCAAACCACTAGCCAGGCTGGGCCTGTGGCCCTGGAAGGAAACAATAGGTTGAGTGCTGTAGCTCAGTGGGGCATTTGGCCCACCCTACATGTGGGCAATGAAATAGGGGTGGAGGTAAAAAATTGGAAAGATCTCTGAAGGGGAAAAACATGCTGGTAGTGAGTAATGGTGTGGGAAATTTTGAGGTGAGAGAATCTGGTGAATAGGGCCCAGAACTGGTCTGGGTGTGGAACACCCTTTCTGGAAAGCTTTACTTCCGGATACTCTGTGGCAGTCTTAGACAATGCTAAGGACAGGACTCTGAAATTTAAGGCCTTTTAAGCATGGGCCCAGGGCAGGAGCCCTGCTTGCTGGGTTGAAGGAAGACCTTGCCCCAAAGTTACACAGCTAGTAAGGATTCCAGTCCGAATCTTTCTGTCTCCTGTGCCTGTGATCTTAATCCGGAAAAACATCATTCTCAAGATGATGATAGATCAAACTTTAGAGAAAGGGCAAATCATCTTTACTGTGACTTCATATTGTCCTCATTATATCTCTGGCCAGGACATTGGTAGGAGAGGGGCATTTTAACTAAATTTTCATCATCATCATCATCATTACCAATATTATTTTAAATTTACAATATTTTTGAGGATGAACTCCACTGTAAAGTATGTACAATAAAATATGCTGGTAGTATCCAACTTTGAAAAAGGGTTTTAGCCCTGGCTGGCGTAGCTCAGTGGACTGAGCGCGGGCCTGCGAACCAGAGTATCGCGGTTTGATTCCCAGTCAGGGCACATGCCTGGGTTGCAGGCCAGTTCCCGGCAGGGGACGCATGAGAGGCAACCACACATTGATGTTTCTCTCCCACTCTTTCTCCTTCCCTTCCCCTCTCTCGAAAAATAGATTAAGAAAATATTAAAAAAAAAAGAAAAAGGGTTTTAATTTACTGTCACTTTCTAAACTTACTTTACCTGGACCACACATGTCCGTGATTCCCACTGTAAGTATCTGACCTAACCCCATGTCTGGAGCTTCTCCCATTTGTTCAGGACTACTGACCACCATGCTAACATAATTTGCTGTTAAAGTCAATAAATATATTCATGTGCCTTGTAAAGATTTCAAAGTGGCAACTCTATCATCTAAACTGGTGAAAACTGGAGAAGCCATGTCTTTGGTGGGAACTGTCTTTACTCCTTTCATTTCTTGTACAATTTAACTGAGGCATTTTGGAGATTATGGCTCAGTGTTTATGACAGAGGAGATTTCAATCCATAGAGCAGATGACTGGACGTTGATAGGTTCCTGTGGTCGATATCTTTTGGAGTTTGACTACTTATCTTCCCACAAATCTCTAGATGGGGTAGTTAACCTATCACATATAAGAATATTTTTTTGTAATCTGCATTTGAGTGACTTCTCCTGGATGCAGCTGGTTGGAGGGGCACAGAATACTGTTTATGGAAAAAATAATAATACTGTGGTGGCTGGGTCTGCCAGACTTTTACATCTCCCCATCGATGTAATCATTTATATGAAACTGCTTTTAGTGGGCAACAGCTCACTGTTGAGGGAATTTGTCTATAATAAACCTCTTGGCTTATGTTCCACCAAATTAAATCAGATCAATTTTCTTCATTTATAATTCCTTCTACATAATGTCAGAATGTTCCTTAGATGAAATGCCTATAAACATATCTGACTTCTTAAGGGAGAGAAAATGATATGAACATGAATGTCCAATTGCTTTTTAGGAAGAGAGATTTCCTTTTGTGGATGATCAGTTGAGGAATGGCAGAATGAAAACCTAAGCTTAAGGAATATTTGGAGAGAAAAATAAATATCCAAGATATAATGTTTATATTTTTGATGAATCAATTTATATATATTTTCATCTGAAAGATGGCTAAGTTCTTATCTTAAATTTTGTGGAAAGATTGTTTCTGCTTCATAGAAAATATAGAAAACCTATGTTTTATTTACAGAAGAAATAAGAGTTTAAGTGAGCATTACAATATTGGAAGGCCCTTTAATGCATACACCACTTCATAATCCTCATTTCCTGAAAGCATATATCAGCTCACATTAATGCGCATATAGATAGGTGTGCCATCTGTTATAGCTTTAGATGCCAGAAAACATTTCTATGGGTTTTCTTGAATCATAAGAATTCAGAGTGTCTTTAGAGTCGATGAGCTGCCCAAACAAGCTAAGAAGAGATTGAGTTTACCCCCTGACATACAATTTTTCCCCCTAACATTTTCTGAGATCTTGCCATCCTCAAAATCTCTATAGGAGTTACTGCTTCATTTCTCATTTGGAATTTTCATTCATACTAATGATTTTTTTTTTCTGTATGTGTGTTCCTTCTCCATATAATTAGCAGACAGTAGAAGCTAAGTAATGACTCTGGGGGTTGAATGGCTAAATCTATTTTTCTCTGGCCAGAAAAATGAATGTAATCATTGGACAAAGAAGTATGAGAGAGATGAGATTATTTCAACTGATTTCCAGGAAGGCAAAATTATAAGATGAAGCATTATGTTGTGGTTCGATACATAGAATACCAAGTGACTGATTGGTAATTACATTGTTTTTGATGTTAGATTTTAACATGTACTAGATATGTATAGTAAAAGTAGAGAGACAGTGAGTGACCTGTAGTTCAGTAACACATGAAATTCTTAAACTAGCAGATTTGATAAGACATATCAAATATAAAACAGGCATTGAAAAATTTTTAATGATCTAATCAGAAAAGAAGCAAACATTAAAAGTCAATGGCTTAGGAGGTAGAATGTATCTCACATCCTAGAAGGATTGTTTGTATGTTTTGTATAATAGTTGTAAGTCACAGGAAAGAAGACTTATGGTATGTTTGAATAAACTGATGTCTTAAGTACAAAAGTTTTTATTTTTTTAACTAGGTAAATGTCAATATTCATGCACAGAAATGGGTTAGCTGACATGTTCTTGAAACTTTTTTGTTTTGTTTTGTTCCTAGGGTCACGGAGTGACATTGAACAGGTAGTGTACTAGGCTCCAAATATGTCTAAGAGAAGTTTTTACATTGTTCTATGTAGAAATGCATGAGAAGAGCTTGAGTCCAATAGAGTGCTTAACTTAACATATGGTAAACATTCGGTAATACTTGGTAATGGTGGTGGATTTTAGGTCAAATATATTTTGAGAGCTGGAGTCTTCTTGTGAATGAGAGTAATAAAAATAGTGTGTGCCAAATAATTATTTCAGATAAGATGCTCAGTATTCCACATAGATCTTTAAAAATTCATTGTTAAACTAACCCTAAAAAATCAATATTATTATTCCTGTTTCAGATTTTGAAACAAAATAAAACAAAATAACAAAGAAAACCCCAAAGCAATAAGGAAACTGAGAGTTAGAGGGATAGGGCAATATTGTAACTCTGAAGTGGAACGTTTGAGCCCTGGTTCAAACCAAGCCATTCTCACTTCAGAGCTTACTCGCTTGACCAACCACTGCATCATTATGCTCCAAAGTTGTGGGAATAGCCATCAAAGACATATTTAAAAGAGGGACAGACTACAAGAGAAAGGAGTGTTGAAGAAAGTACATGTGTGGAACATCTTGTTACAACAATAGAATGCCTTCATTTTATGGAGGCTGACTTATTAGATACCAGCTTAATTAGCCAACTTCCTCTTGGGTCTTGGTGTAGTTGTTAACTCCCTCTGCCAGGACAATGGCTGTGTAAATTATGCCTGTCTCTTGCAGTGGCCATGAACCCTAACAAAATAACTACATAGTAGTTAAGTTGCATCTTCAATGTTTTATGCCATTTTCAACAGTCATTTTCTGACCAGTGAAATGAATGGAGTATGCCGAGAAGTGAGAAACGGTGTGGAAGGACAAATGTTCCATTTAGCTGTAACCTTAGTGACTTGTAAAATATTAAAATGTGTGAATTTATATGCTCAGGCTTATTCTTTATTACAAGCTTTGTCTCCTCTTTATAAAACTGAGTGTGACTAGTTCTCACCAGCCTATTAGAGAGCAGGAAGATTCTGTTCCGGAGCTATGATTTATCACGACATTCGAAGATGCAGTAGAGGCTCACCCTGTTGTCTGCCTGGAGCAAGGCTAGATTCTCTCTGTGTGTAAATTGCCTACCCTGCTGTTCTCTCACACAGTCTTCTTCCGCAGAGTTATTATCTCACTTCTGGATGTCAAGTGCTATGTTTGTCAGATGGGAGGCATATACTTACATTAGTTTTATAGGTTAAAATTACTACTTGTAGGTTAAAATATGTAGAAATGTTATACAAATGAATAGGATAATGCCAACTTTCTCATAGAAAACTTTAGGAAAGTAAATATGAAAATTCTTTATTTTTAGTTTTTTTCTAGCCATTGTCAAGTGGGGATCTGGCTTTTTGTTTTAGAATACCTCAATTAGTGTCTACCAACTCACATGATATTTCTATTTTTATGGTGTAAATACCATGGTAGATTTTACAGTCACAAAAATTCTTCTTTTAATTTTTCACCAGTTCATGTGTTTCATTGTATTTAACTCTGCACAATTAATGCTCCCTAAATTGTATGTATGCTTTCTTTTTCTTGTCTTCACTCTCTTATTTTTATTATAGTAATTCCAAAATTAGCTATATAATGTGTTGACAGTTAAATCATGATTATTGTACCTTAAAGATTAGGTTAAACCCCAAAGGGTCAGAATTATTTGTGTCTAAAAAAATCATTCTGAGCCACTTGTTATCTTGTCTGCTCTGTTGAGTTGTGCATAGATGCAGAACCATGCTAACTAGAAAGTATCAAAATCCGTCATGTCTTGCAGAACAATTTTGACTTTTGTACAGATTTACATTTTATTTATTTATTTGCTGTAATAACATCTGATGTTTTCTTTTGCAGGGAGGAAAAAAAGCATATCCTTTTCTCCTTGACAGTAGCTGTCTTCTAAACCTTTTTGTTCAAGTTTGTAGCATAGATATGAAGCTCGATCATGTTTTACTTCAAAACTAGTGTTCTGAATATCAGAGGTAACCTCCATGTAAGCTATTTACTCAAGCGACTTCTCTTTCTGACAAGCATCTATCTCTTATCATATAGTCACTGGTAATTTTGCTTGGTTTAGATAAAGAGCTGGGGAAACCAATTATTTCAACACATCAGGGATCAGTCGTGTACTTTAATCATGTTGTCATGTAATGCTCAAGCTCTTTCTTACTTTGCATTGAATTGCTGCAATTCTTTCTCTCAACTTGGACTACTTTTGAAAATGTATCCACGTGTCAATTTTTATTGCCTAATTCACATTGGCAAAAGTGTAGTGGGATGAGGGGAACAATAAAAATTTGGTGTCGGGCCCCAGTCACTGTGGTTGAGTTGGTTGGATACTGTCCTGCCACCTGAAAGGTCGCAAGTTCAATTCCCAACAAGGCACATTCCTGAGTTCTGGGGGCGTGTACAGAAGGCAATCAACTGATGTTTCTCACATTGATGTTTCCCTCCCTCTCTTTCTTGTTCCCCTGCACTCTCTTGAAAATATCAAAAAAATAAAATAACAACATTTAAAAAATGGGTGTCAGAAAGTTTGACTTGGGTGTTGGGTCTACCAATGATTACATGTTTGATGTTGGTCATGGTGCTGACTCTCTCTGAGCTTCAGTGATTTCAATAATAAAATGTGGTTAATTGAAGAATAATATAAAGATATTTATATATTATATTATTATATTATATTATATATAATTGTATATAAATATAATTTAATGATGTATTATGAATTATGTATTATGTATTTAACATTACATCTTATATGTTTATATATTTTGTGTATGATATATATTTTATTTTATTTGTATTTTGTTCTATTTTTTAGTTTCACTTCAAAGATAATGTGCTTTATCTCAGATGAGCCAATGTATTTCTCCCTGTGCCATTTTGAGTCTCAGAAACCATTTTTGTTTTGCTATCAATGCCTTGGCAACGGACCTAAACACTGCCTTGGTCGAATGGTCATTGCCCCTGCCCTACCAGTTCGTCCTGGAGAATACATCCATGAGGGTTAGTTTTACTAATCCTTAATACTAATTGGTTCTCCTGACCTAGGAGGCTTTTAGTATAGACTAGAAATATCCCAAGGACAGTCCCTGAACATTATGTTTAATGTTCCCTGTGTTCTTGGTCTAAATGTCATGCTACTAGAATAGCTAAAACATACCGGTTGCCCAGAAAGGTGAAATTAATTATGTTTGGCTTATCACCAAAGTCTCTATATTATAGCTAGCTCTTGCAGGTATGAGGTTGTCAGTCACAGCTGGGGTAAAAGTACATTCTAAGAAGAGAACAGTATAGGCAAATATAGACAGAAGAAAAATTTCTATGGAGTGTTCTATGTAGGAAATAGTGAAAAGTCCTTTACAATAACAGCATAGGATTCTTTCTGTCTCAAGCAAAATAATTAGCTGAGGAGGGATCTGATTATTTTGATATTAAGGGCTTAATGTTGTGATGATATTTTAAATTTTAGTTATTAAATGTTACCCGACAAAGATAATTTTTCAACATATAAACACAAATATTAGCGCCCTGGCTGGTGTAGTAGTGGATTGAGGCGGGCGGGTGATTCCCAGTCAGGGCACATGCCTGGGTTGCAGGCCAGTTCTCTCCCTCTCTCCTTCCTTTCCCCTCTAAAGATAAATAAATAAAATCTTAAAAAAATATTAGCAAAGATTATGATGGAATGCTAGAAATGAGAAAATGAGTCACTAGACATTTGAACAAAAAATTTAAAAATAGATATTTAAAGAAGACTGGTAAAGTTGATTGCTAGTGGGGGAGGTTTTAAAAATATCACTAGCTTCATAAACTAGCTTCATAAACTAGATAAATAAACATATTTATTTCCTCTGATTTCTGTACATAATTAATATGCATATTTTGTATCTAAATATAATATGATGACTTCAACTCCTATTCCTTTTCCCCACAACAAACATACTCTCTTTGAACCTTAGAATAGAATCTGCACTAATTTCTATCCAGCAGTTGGACTGCTGAATTTCATTGGTTGGCAAATCTGAGAAGAAGTGAATGGCTTTTGTAATTTATTGGTGTCATGTAAAGGAAGGTCTTCTTTATCCACTGAATGATTGGAAAACATTCAAGAAAACAATGTGAATTGAGTTCAAAGAAGCAAAAATAATTGACTAACAGATACTTGACTTAAGAGGACAAGTTGAATATTCATTGAATTAATTCAAGTGAAGGTTTATAAATGGCTAAATCCAAGCTATGAGGATCAAAGAAATGTTTTAGATATAGACTATGTACGAGTTAAGAACAGACAGTTAGAGGCGGAAGAGTGGGAGAAATTGAGGGAAACTGTGAAGTGTCTAGCTTGGTTTACTGGTTAATGGTGATAATGTTAACTTGAATAAGTTGAAAATATCTGTTGAAAAATGAAGTGGCTAATGGTGATTTAAGGGTATGAGGAAAGTAGAAAAGGTTTGGAATAGCCTCTCTAGTTGAAAGAAATTGTAGTAATGGTAGCAAAAAAGGAATAAAATCATATTTAGCCTCAAAGAAGTCACTTCAAATTTGGAAAATGGCTTGATATTGACATTCAAGTTTTCAATGGCTTCTCATTGGCCACAACAACAGTTTTCAATATGTTTTCATGATGAAACCTGTGAGGGGCAATATCCACACTCTAAACATAATTGTATCTGCCTCTGGCATACACAAAACTAGCTTTATAATATGTAAAACTGCATAGTAGGTAACTGTAATTTCTCCCCGTTCTCTTACATGTCTAAGTGAATGAGTGTGATAACAGTGATAAACTTATATGAGTTCTATTTCATTTTTAAGTACTTTAATCTCAGTTTTTATAGTTTCAACCACCATTTAAGTAAATTACTTGTAATATACCTTTCTACTGATCTTAACATTGAAAGTTAGAACTAGCCTATACAGAAAAGTTGTCAAGCTTGTAGGCCTTGCAAATGAAGCTCTCCATAGTCAGGCCATATCCCAATTTCTATTTTCCAAAGATGATTGCAAAAGTATCTCTTCCCCATTTGAATTTATAGGACCTCTTCACTAGAACTAGAGTCTAAGTTCCCTCCTCTGGAATCTGAATGTGTTTTTCATTTGCTTGTAACAGAAGAAATGCCATAAGAGTGACAATACATGATTCCTAAGGCTACATCATTAAGCACAATGTAAGTTTCCATATTTCTCATTGGAACATTACGTTTGGACCTTCAAGATGCCATATAAATAGTCTCAATTGCCCCAAGGATGTTATGCTGTGAAGAAGCCAAAACTAGTTCATAAGCAGAGATGGCATGCATAAACCCTCAGACAACATGAAGAAAAAATGCTTGGTTAGTTCCTGAATGCTCTAGCTTCCAGTGTTCCAACTATAGAAGATATTAATTTTGATAACCTGAAAGAACCCAAGTCATAACTACCTAGTTGAGCCTCTTCCAAATTCTTGACCCACAGAAAACATGGCAGACGATAGATTGATTTTTGCTGTTTAAAATGTTTGGAGCATTTATTATGCAGCAGTACTAACTGAAACAGAATTTTGGATTTGGAAGTGGGCCTTTGCTTAAACAAAACACCAAAAGTAGTGGCAAAAGATTTTAGGTGAAGTAGATATCAGCAGGGTCTGGGGGAGGGGGGCTTGTAAGGGACAAGAGGAGAGTGGAACAAAGGGACTTAAGGAGGCTGTCAGAGAGGGCTAAGGAAAAGTGAGGAAGATGTTTCTGAATGCTGGAGAAAAGGAAACCCTAGTCATATAATGAGAGAAAGTTAACAAAACTGTTGCCTATATTAGCATAGAAAAAAAGAAGAAAATGCTCTAAATGACCTTCAAGATATAGCTAAAGATATTTCTAGGCATAGTCCACAGGTTCCACCTAGCTTTTTATAGAGAGCAATAATCAAATGAGGAGCGAGGGAGATGTAGTAAAGAACTAATTGTTCAATTTTAAAAGTAGAATTTAGAAGAAAATATAAAAAGTAAAAAGGATTTGTTTTTTTCAGACAGTAAAAGCTTCTCGAGGTAAAGGAAACCCAAAGATCAAATCCAAAGTGAAATGATAAGAACCATTGCTAAGACCTTAGAGTGATTTAAGGTAGAGCAACATCAGAAACTTTTAGCCAGACACCATGATGTTTAAGTATCATAAGACCATGCTTCACAGAACCTTTAAATCAAACAACAAAGCTTCTAAGATTCTTTAGCATATTATCCTACAGTTTTATATTTTATATAAAGTCCAGAGTAAAGAGAGGATTCTCTTGAAGAGATTATGGATATAATTTGGCCATTAGTAACTTTTTTCAGACAGCTCTTTGTCACTTTTAAAATTACCTGTGTATTATGCTGAACTTGTGCTTGCTTTGACAACAGGTATTTCAGGTTCATTTTGAATTGTTTTCCCTACATCGATTGAATCATTTGGTCTCCAAGAAGATATGGCCTTCTCTACTGTAGCCAAAGGATTGAATCTGGGTGCCACTGAGCAAGTACTGGATATGTTACTTTATATGAGCATTTGACATAGAAGAGGATGACACAAAAGCTATTTGTCTCCTTTATGTCTTGTGAGAATGTAACCTTTTCTAAAATACAAAAGCCATATTTGCATTGATATTTCTAATTCAACTGTCTTTTATTCTTATACTGCTAAGATGACCTTCCTTTTTTTCAGTGCTACACTGAACTCTCATATCAAAGCAGGTGTCCAATAGCAGCACTATTCCTAAATTAAGAAGTCTTCATTCCATCTTTCTTGCAATTTCATCTATTGCCCAAGGGTTTTGGAGTTAGCTTCAGAGAGAACATGCCCCTGCTTGTCAGGATGACCCGAACATCAAATGACTGATGAGAGAATGATATCTTTGTTTCCTCTAAAGGAACACCAGAAATTTATGGGAATTTCATGTCACAGCATAGTATAAAAGAACAGCAATAAATACAAATAAAGGCTTTGCGATTTTAACTATAACTTTATTTTTTTAAGAAAAGTCTCATCCTCTTTAGAGCAGTTTAATGCTCACCACAAAATTGAGAGAAAGGTACAGAGCTTTTCTGTACCTCTCTACCATAATATATGCATAGCCTCTCCCATTATTAACATCACCTGCCAGAGTGATACATTTGTTATCACTGATGGACAATCACAGTCATCTAAACTCCATAATTTACTATAGGACTCACTCTTGGCCTTGTATATTCTGTGGGTTTGGACAGATGTATAAATAACATGTATTCATCATTATATTATCATATAAAGTGTTTTAAATACCCTAAAAACTCTCATTGCTCTACCTTTTCATGCCTCCTCATAACTCCAATCCCTGGGCACCACTGACTTTTAATGTCCTCATAGTTTTGCCTTTTCCAGAATATCATAGTTGAAATCATACAGTATATGTTCCTTTCATTTTGGCCCTCCCCACCTAATAATATGCACTTTAAGTTCTTTCTGGTGTTTTCATAGCTTGATAAATCATTTTTTTTGGTGCTGAAAAATATTCCATTATATGAATTTATCACAGTTTATTTAGCTGTTTACCTACTGAAAGGCATATTGGTTGCTTCCACATTTTAGCAGTTAAACGTCTGCGTGCAGGCTGTTGTGTGGATATAGAATTTTCAGTTCCTTGGGTAAACACCAAGAAACACGACTGCTGAATTGCATGGTAAGAGCATTTTTAGTTTGGTAGGAACTCACCAGACTGTTCTGTACAGACTGCACTGTTTTGCATTTCCATTAGCAATGAATGAGAATTTCCATTGCTGCCCATCCTCACCAGCATTTGATGGTGTTGTCAGTATTCCATATTTCTGACCATTCTGATAAGTACGTGGTAATATTTCCTTCCTATTTTAATTTGCATTTCTCTGAGAACACATGATATGGAGCATCTTTTCTTGTGCTTATTTACCATCTGTGTATCTTCCTTGGTGAAAGGTCTGGTAAGGTCTTTGGCCCATGTTTTAATCGGGTTGCTTGTTTTCTTATTGTTGAATTTTGAGTTCTTTGTATATTTTGGATAACAGTCTTTTAGCAGATGTTTCTTTTGTCAATATTATTTCCTAATCTGTCGCTTATCTTCTCATTCTCTTGAAATTGGCATTCAAAGAGCAGTATTTAATCTTGATGGAATCCAGCTTACTAATTACATCTTTCGTGAATCATTCCATTGGTGTGATATTTAAAAAGTCATTATTACACCCAGGCTCATCTAGGTTCTCTCCTGTGTTATCTTGCAGGAGTTTTATAGTTTTGAATTTTACGTTTAGGTCTTTGATAAGTTTTGAGTCAATTTTTGCGAAAGGTGTAAGGTATGTGTCTTTTTTTTGCATCATTTTCTGAAAAGCTTATCTTTGCTCCATTGTGTTGTCTTTGCTCCTTTACAAAGATCACATCGACTTATATTTATGTGGTTCTATTGTTCTCTTTGCTTTTCAGTTTTGGAGGGTTTTTTTTTCAATATATGCTTAGGTCAGAGATTATTTTCTTAGTTTTGTTCAGTCTATGGATAAACCCATGAAAGACATTCTTCAATTCTGTTACAGTTTTGGATCTTCAGCATGTTTTTTATTCCTTTCTTAGGATTTCCATAACTCTGGTTACATTGTCCATCTGATCTTTCCTGCTGTCTTTGTTACTCATTAGAGCACTTAACATATTAGTTATAGTTGTTTTACATTTTTGTCCAGTAATTCCAACATCCCTTCCAAGTTTGGTTTTGAAACTTGCTCTATCTTTTCAAATAGTGTTTGAAAACACTATCATGTTGTTTGTGTTTTTTGTCTTTTACTACTTCTTATAATTTTTTTGATCATCAGACATTATATACCAGGTAAAAGAAACTGCTGTAAGTAGGTAGTTAGCAATATGGTGGTACACTGTGGGGCCAGGGGAAGAGCTCTCTTATCTCATGATTGATTAGTTCTTAGTTTTCAGTGAGCTTATGTCTCTGGACTATGAACTTCATGTATGTTTCTCAGTGTTTTTTACCCTTATTAGGTAAGGTAAGATTAGTTTTTGTTTGTTTTTAGTTTCATCATTGTGTCAGAAATATTGGATTTATTGAATATTAAATTTGATTAAATGCAGCACCAAATTTCAGTCACTATCTTTAAGTAGTGAGTCCTTCATAAATTTGCATGATCTCCATTTCTTTGATGTCTCTAATTTGACTTTCTTTCCTTATTGTAGTGACTTTTCAACAATATCTATGCTGGTTAAAACCAGATTTCTGACTTCCAGAACTAAAATGTTTGCCTCTTCTTCTTATGGTACAACAGGCAATTGTTTGCATTCCTAGGTGAGATGCTTGAGAATATTGTGAATTTGTAAAGGAAAATTGCATGATTAACATTTGAAATGAGTATTTGTAAATTTTAAACTAATCTAGGCAGCTGGTGATAGTTCATTCACCTCAGTGCTACCTAGAAAAACATCTACAATGCTACCTGCAGTAAGACTTTATTATGTTTCAAATTTTTTCTAATAGAATAAATTATCTTTCATTTCTAAATATATCATTGGACTTGCATTCATCTATACAGAAATGTTTATATGTGTTATCTGGGCAAATGTTGACCAGATTTGTCATTGATATCAATTATATTTAACCCAAGGCACATTTTAAATAATTGAGATATTCTTTAAGTAGTACTATAAGGATGCTACTAGAAAAATAAATGTCAAGAAAGACCATTGTAAAACAAATATTTTCCAACTGTACAGTCTTTGAAGAAGAGGTGAATTCTACTGCAAAATTTCTTTATCCATCATAAGCATAGGGGCAAAAATTACAGCTTTGCTTTAATTTGTGATTTTCATATTGTGTGTGTTGAGAATGTTAAGAATAAAGTGGAGGAATGGAAGTTATCAAGTTGTGAATCCCCTTATTTCAGGGGGAATCACTCCAACTATAGGGAAATCCTTTATGACTGGGAGAGCATTTTGAAAACAACTGTGTGTGTTGGGGGTGGCTTGAGGGGCAGCGAGTAGGCACTTGCTTTTTTCCCCAATGTATTATAATTTGTCGGACTGTCAATGTACCCAGAGTTATTTTGTATTTCCAAGAAAAAAGATATGTTTCATTTATACTCCAGAAATATAGGCATCATAAAGAAAAAGAATGTTTATTAAATTCTCTTTAGACGTTTAAATCTTTAGTGACAGCTAAGAGGAAAAATCAACCACCAAAACAAATAACTCTGCTTGAGTGAGCAAGCGCACCGTGACAAGGTGTAGCTTCCATTAGTGCTTTTCCAGTGTGTCCTCTTGATAAATCACATGCAAGTCTTTGTTTCTATATGTTGGCAGAAAAAGGATGGGAAAAAATGTGCTCACTGCTTATGTATAAAAAGAGTCAATAAATGTAGAGTTTTTATTTTTAATTCAGAGGTAACACTTGAATTACTTTAATTTTACTGAGTTTGACTTTTATTTCTCTACTTTCAATAAAAGATTTTCTGCCCTGGCTAGTGTAGCTCAGTGGATTGAGCACAGGCCTGTGAACCAGAGGATTGCCATTCGATTCCCAGTCAGGGCACATGCCTGGGTTGCAGGCCAGTTCCCAGCAGGGGACGCACGAGAGGCAACCATACACTGATATTTCTCTCCCTCTCTCCTTTCCTTTCTCTCTAAAGATAAAGAAATAAAATCTAAAAAAAAAAGATTTTCTGTTGTCATTTTCCTGCAAGTATGAAGCTGAGGTTTTCTGACACCCCTAGAACTGCTCTCCCATCAGCATTAGTCAGATGTGGCTGTCATGGATCTGTTATGGCACCTGGACTTTTCCTGACACAGTGTGTCTTTGATGTACTCATTTCCGTTTGGGTTACCTGGCTGAGAAGTGTAGGGCGGCACCTGTTAGAGGTCCGGCTGGGCTGAGTGGGTGCTGTGGTCACATATCCTGGCTACCCTGTCTAGGGAGGCAGATTCAGAGGAAACTGAACACACAGGGACTTTTATGTTGGCAAGTTGGTTGACAAACATGAATCCTCAGAGGAGATGCAGTGCATCATGGACAAGAATAAGCAAAAGCTCTTTTATCTTTTCAGCTAAGAATCATTTATGTGAAAGTGAAAATTAGTAATTGGCAAATCATTTCTTGAGCAGTGGATCTACCCAAGATACAGTTCTAGACCAACTGAAAGATGTAAAGAATAAGATCTAAAACTTCTACTCAAGGCCCTGGCTCGTGTGGCTTAGTGGGTTGAGTCCTGGACTCCGACCCGAAGGTTGCTAGTTCGATTCCCGGTCAGGGCACATGCCTGGGTTGTGGGCCGGGTCCCCGGTTGGGGGCATGTGAGAGGCAACTGATGGATGCATCTCTCACATGTCAATGTTTTTGTCACTCTCTTTCTCTTTCCCTTCCCTTCTCTCTAAAACTAAATAAATAAAATCTTTAAAAAAATAAAATAAAACTTTTGCTCAAGGAACTTTTAATCTGATAGTGGAAATAAGAATTTTGTGATTGACCATATTCTAGGATGTGAATTGCTTCCCAGGGAACTCCAAGGGAAAAGCATTAGGAACATCTAGAAAGTCTTTACAATTTTATGATTTTCTTGATTTTTTTTCTCTCCTTTAGGTGGTTCAATTGCAGTAACAGGAGAGCTAATTCTAATGGTTCAAAGAAGAAAGATAATTTTTTGATTTAAGTAAATGAAAATTTCGGTGATAGATAAGATGGCTTTCAGGTGTGATTTTATGAGGTTCCATATCACTGTGATTCTTTCACACTCTTATGGAGAATAAACAAGACAATAAATGAAAACACTGTGTACACATAACAATATTAATAAATGGTGAATAATCTATTATCAGTATTTTATAAGTATTTACTTTAATATTCATGATTATCTTACTTTCCTCAATTAATATTTTTTAAATTTTTGTGTCATGGCAGTACAGTTTTGAAACCATAAAAAATTTATATTAAGAAATAAAACCTTTTATTGGTCAATTTATATTAATAATATCCACATTAAAAAGGCATGCCTACATTTATTATATGGAGAGTGGTTATATATATAACACTTTTAATATTACTTAAATTGCTAATGAGTCATCTTAATAAAATAAGTAAATACCCTTATAAAATTGAAAGTGGAGTTTATAGCATTTTTTTTTAGTTTTTAAATGATTCATGCCATGGTGAAAAAACACCATGCATTTTCTAGTCATAACTGGCAATACTTCTGATTCTTATCAACACTCTGTAAACTTACTATAAAGAATAATTTGGACTAGTCGTGTATGAATAACCCCATGGACAATATCATGAGGACTGAATGTAGGAAAGGGACCTGGGCTGGGCAGAGGAGGACAAAGGGGGAAAATTGAGACAACTGTAGTAAAACAACAATGACAAATTTTTAAAAGAATAATTTAGAGCAATAATAAGAAAGAAATTGGGTTCTGAGATACTATACAAACCTAGAAAGAAAATAAGCAATACCATCACCTAAAGCCCAATCCACTTATAATTTTTTATGATATCAAATATAAAATAGTGCAGGATTGAATGTATGATCTACCCTGCTGTGTGTCTCTGGACCAGTCATTTTCTAACATCTATTCCCAGGTTAGAGTCTGTGTAATTCCAGTTGGGGCAGGCCACTAACTTGAGCAATCTTTGATTCTGTGACCTGCCATCCCTATTATGATATTCCCAGAATTCCATGATTGTTAGTAGAGTCTCATAAATGGCCAGCATTAGCCTCCAAACTCTAGCTTAAAATTTTTTCCACCTTTGTCTCTTTCTGTTCATGTTAACCACTACCATTTTCATCTTCTCTAGTTTCAAAAGTAACTGATCTCAAATTTTTGTTCTGCCTCTTCATTTGTCCTATTCGAACTAGACCATCTAACTTTTGACTATATACAAAAGTTAGTCAACTTCTCAGCCTGTAACTGCAGCCTCAGATGGAGGTGCTGGTTCTAGTATTAAATTAATAGGGTGTTCAGGATAGCATCTAGAAGCCAGGATGATAGGTCCATAAAACTGCAGCACCATCATGGCTTTCTTTGTTCATTTGATAAATAATATGAAAATTATTATTGTTGTAATAATAGTAACATGTTTTATTTCTAGAATGCTTTATAATTCACAAACAACTTTCATAAACTTTTTCCTAAAATTATGATTATATAAAAAACAGCCCTGGCTGGTGTAGCTCAGTGGATTGGGCGCAGGCCTGTGAAGCAAAGGGTTGCCAGTTTGATTCCCAGTCAGGGCACATGCCTGGGTTGCAGGCCAGGTACCCAATAGGGGACACATGAGAGGCAACCACACATTGATGTTTCTCTCCCACTCTTTCTCCTTCCCTTCTCCTCTCTGTAAAAATAAATAAAATATATTTAAAAAAACAGTTATTTTTCCTATCATACAAACTATAAAAACAAAACGTAAGAGGT